TTGGCCTTGCTATCATCCTCACAGAGTATACCCATGATGCAATAATAACGGGTGATTTTTTTGAGGTTAGGATTTTCATGCATTAGTATTTGACAGATCACGTGGGATTTCAGACATGGTGTCAAAGAGAAAGATGCTCAGTATGCTTTGAAATTTCATCATGAATAGACTTACTAACGAGCAACGCTTGCAAATCATTGAATTTTATTACCAAAATCAGTGTTCGGTTCGAAATGTGTGTTATCGACAAATTTTGTTCAGCGATGAGGCTCATTTCTGGTTGAATGGCTTCGTAAATAAGCAAAATTGCCGCATTTGGAGTGAAGAGCAACCAGAAGCCGTTCAAGAACTGCCCATGCATCCCGAAAAATGCACTGTTTGGTGTGGTTTGTACGCTGGTGGAATCATTGGACCGTATTTTTTCAAAGATGCTGTTGGACGCAACGTTACGGTGAATGGCGATCGCTATCGTTCGATGCTAACAAACTTTTTGTTGCCAAAAATGGAAGAACTGAACTTGGTTGACATGTGGTTTCAACAAGATGGCGCTACATGCCACACAGCTCGCGATTCTATGGCCATTTTGAGGGAAAACTTCGGAGAACAATTCATCTCAAGAAATGGACCGGTAAGTTGGCCACCAAGATCATGCGATTTGACGCCTTTAGACTATTTTTTGTGGGGCTACGTCAAGTCTAAAGTCTACAGAAATAAGCCAGCAACTATTCCAGCTTTGGAAGACAACATTTCCGAAGAAATTCGGGCTATTCCGGCCGAAATGCTCGAAAAAGTTGCCCAAAATTGGACTTTCCGAATGGACCACCTAAGACGCAGCCGCGGTCAACATTTAAATGAAATTATCTTCAAAAAGTAAATGTCATGGACCAATCTAACGTTTCAAATAAAGAACCGATGAGATTTTGCAAATTTTATGCGTTTTTTTTTTAAAAAAAGTTATCAAGCTCTTAAAAAATTACCCGTTAGAGTAAGATCGGGTATTGTGGGCACCATTTCACCTTGATATTAATTTCTGCCAAAATAATGGTAATGAAAAAGCGATGTATATTTTTTTCTAAAAGGTATTGAATTATCTTTACATTTTATTGCAAAATATACCCTAATATTATCGTTTTCATCTGATAGAATAGAAAAACTGAAACCACCTCAAAAGTTGATGAAAAAAAACTGGAGGGTAATGTGGGCCAAGGTATTCGGATAAAGTGGGTCACTGCATAAAATCACCAAAAACCAAATTGTAAGAGTTAATAATAAGTCAATGCATTTATTTATATATTTATTTTATTGTGATTTAACAAAAATGACCTTCTTGGCTGACTTATTAGAAAAAAATTATTAAACTAAGGTAAATATAAATGGCTTAAAGATGTAAATAGTAAGGTTTAAACTTTAATTAGTGTACTTTATAAATTATTCCGAGCAAGAACTACAAATAAAGATGGCGTCTCTTTTAGGTAGGCACTTCTCGTGAGCCCAAACCATATCGCATTGCAGGCACTGTGTCCATAGTTGATATCCAGTGTCATTTTCCACCCGAGCTCCACAGAAATTGCATTCTGTCTCTTTGTTTGATGGAACATCCGGAAAGAGATCTTCCCCGTCTGAGTCTAATAAGTTTAGAGATTCTTCAGAATCAGAAGAAGACCGTACTTGATCTGTCTTTTTCCGATCAGGTTTATTTGTCTTAAATTGTTCGTTTACCTTTGGCTTAGATTTTTTAGATGAACCCACACTCTGTTTTAATTCATTTTTATATGGTGACTTTGTTAACACAGTGGCTTTACTCCTTTTCCTTCCGCGGTTTGTAAAAGGCTTCCTTATTTTCGGTACAGGAGATATTTGCCAAGGTGTGACAAGGCTCGTGCTCGCAACTGGTGAAGATATATTGGCTGTAACGACTTCATTAGAGGTTTCAATGTTTTTGTTTGTTACCGAAGGATATTGCCCGTGTGTGACACG